ATGCAATTTTGCTTTACATCAAAATCTACTATTCATAAGTTATTATTATTAATTTTTTATTGCAGGATATAAAGTAGAAAAATTTGTACATTACATATTAAAAAAAACAAAATACAAAGGACTCTACTTATAAATTTAAAGCTCCAGTTTTACTGTGGTGTACACATAAGTTTTACTGTGGTGTACACATAAGTTTTACTGTGGTGTACACATAAGTTTTACTGTGGTGTACACATAAGTTTTACTGTGGTGTACACATAAGTTTTACTGTGGTGTACACATAAGTTTTACTGTGGTGTACACATAAGTTTTACTGTGGTGTACACATAAGTTTTACTGTGGTGTACACATAAGTTTTACTGTGGTGTACACATAAGTTTTACTGTGGTGTACACATAAGTTTTACTGTGGTGTACACATAAGTTTACGGTACAGAACATAAAACTTCAAACATAAATTTTAGTATTTAATAATATTTAAATTTTATATAAAGACATTATATGTATAAATAAGTCATTGAAAATGACACAGTCCTCGTTAAGTTCTCTTTGTGCTTGTCATATTAAAGCGGAGGGGTTGTCGCAAGCGTGTCCTTGAAACTTGAGTTCCAAGTGGCGTATACAACAGATTGTTTATTTACATGAAAACACGTGTTTCGTGTCATAGTAATATGGCCAAAATAAAAACAGTCGTTATTCAGCCATCTTTGATCTGATTATGAAACACAGAGATATGTATGATGTATGTGCCAAATACAAATGAAAATGGTACATAAATTGTGGAAATATAGTAGTAAGGCCAAAAAGTCAGATGGCTGTCAAACGACCATCCTTGACCAGATTTTGAAACAAATTGTCATGGCAATGCATCCTAACATGTATAAAGTACATGTATGTGCCAAATTTGAATGAAAACTGACAGAGCACATCCAAGATACCGCATAAAAAAACAAAAACAAGATGCCTGCCAGTCGACCATCTTTGATCCAATTGCGAAATCACTGCAAGTGCATATGTCCCACATAAGGTACTGGGCACATGCAAAGAATAAACGGAATCGGTCCACAGGATACTGAAATATGACGTTGGACAGACTGACGCATGGACAGACAGACACACGGACGGTCGAACGGACTTCCTCAGGAACTCACGGATGGTCGGGGACATGTATCCTAACATGTATGATCTATGTACTAAATTTGAATGAAAACTGACAAAGCATGTCCAAAATACGACATTTTCAAAAAACAAGATGGCTGCCAGTCGGCCATGTTTGATCCAATTGTGAAATAAATCATCATGGACATGTATCCTAACATGTATAATCTATGTACCAAGTTTGAATGAAAACTGACAAAGCATGTCCAAAATACAACATTTTCAAAAAACAAGATGGCTGCCAGTCGGCCATTTTGAATCGAATCGCTAAACCATTGCATGTGCATATGTCCCACATAAAGTACTAGGCACATGCAAAGAATGAACGGAATCGGTCCAAGGGATTCTGAGATATGACTCCGGACGGACACACGGAGACCGAATTATAAGTCCCCGTTTTCGGACTTCGTCCGAACGGGGACTAATAAGACATACTGGGGCTTTTTTTGTGTGTAACATTCAGTGTGGACATAGAACATTTAATAAACGGTAACTGAATGTATAATATCTGCCACCAGACAGTTGTGATTACTCAGTATTTTAACATTTATGTTTCCTATTTCCTAAAGCACCAGGTCAGGACAGCCTCAATGCAGAGCTGTTCAAAAGTAGGTCCAAAGTTTGCTGTACAAGTTCTTCAGCCACTACTCACAGCCATATGGAACGAGAAACAAATAATAGAAGACTGGACAGAAGGAGTTGTGAAGATCCCAAAGTATCACTAAACAACTGTAACAACTGGAGAGGAACAACACTACTGTCAATTCCAAGTAAGACCAGGATCTTTCTTAGCAAAGAACCAGAAGCTCAGGAAAGAAAAAGCAGATATTCAAGAAGAAAAGGGTGTATAGACCAGATCTTCACCTTACAGAACATAGCAGTGTACAGAGTGGCAGAGACAGTTGTACATCAAATTTGTGGATTTTGGAAAGGCTTTTGACAACATACACCAAGAAAATCTATGGTGTATCCTCAAGGCATATGGAATTCCACATGTACAGCAGATTGTACTGGTCATTAAAAGTTTTACAGGAACTTCAAAGTTGGAAATAGTGAATCAAGCTTTGAAGTGAAGATTGGCATCAGACAAGGATGTTGGTGATGCTCTTCAACATATCAACTGACTGGGTAATGAGAAGAAAGACAGAGAACCTACCAAGAAGCATCAGATGGACCCTTTTCTCAACACTTGAAGAACTGGACTTCGTTGACGATCTAGAATTGGTCTGGCATACGTATCAACACATGCAGGAGAAGACGACGCGGCTCTGAAAATCAACAGGAAGAAAACAGGTGT